AAGTTCTCTTTTTCTCAAGAGATTCTCCAATAAGGAGAATGGCTTAGGCCCAGGGTATCTGTAAGATCATCTCCTGCCATCCTCCCATCGTCCGGTGCGCTCTCACAGAGCGAGCCTCCTCAGGGTGCCGTCAGCCAGACAATGTTGGCTGGCGGCCCCCAGGGGGAGAGCGTTCTCTATGGGAGGGCCGGCCCTCTGGAATGGGCTGCCCACCGGCCTCAGGACAGCCCCTGACCTCCTCTCCTTCCGCCGCGAATTGAAGACGTGGCTTTTTCACCAAATGGGCTGAATCCGTAGGGGTGATTTTTTAAATAATTTTTAATAATTTTTTTAAATTAATTTAAATTAATTTTAAATTGATTTGTTGTTTATGTAATTTTTTTTCTTCCTTCTTGTAAACCGCCCTGAGTCCTTCGGGAGAAGGGCAGCATATAAATTGCATAAATTGCATAAATTGCATAAATACATACATACATACATACATACATACATACATACATACATACATAATGTTTTTTCCCTCCAATATGGGTTTTTGGTGCCATTTGGAATAGTTGTTATTAAAGTATGAAGAAAGAAATATTCTTCTTTGTCCCTTATACTTAAAAGCAGAAGTTGTTTACATTATGCAGTTTCAAAGAACTGCCTGGCCATTTCAGGTTCATTTATAAATATATATTTTATGCTACTTCAATTGGCAAGTTTACTGCTATTAATATATCTTTACATTATACAGTTCAGATTATACAGTACAGTTTTTAAAAGGTCTCTTAAAATCCAACAACACCCATAACTGTAATTATCTGCCTCATAATCAATATTCAAGATATAATGCTGATTGCATGAACAGATCCAAGTCACACATTGGAAAAAAATTGCTGCAGCTGCATCTTAAAACAGATCCCAATCTCATACATCTAGAAATAAATCCTGCCGGCTTCAGAAACGTTAAGTCATAAGTACATCTGTTTTGGATTATATTTTAAACTTGGAATCCACAATATAGACTCATTACCAGAAACATTAGTGCAAACCAAATTAAGAAGGTATGTATTTCCAAGATGGCATATGCTATACTTCAGTATATTTATTAAACTTGCTTATAATGCCCTGATCTATTAAATCTAGACAATATGCACAATACATTATCAAAAATAATATGGTAATATGGTAACCACCTCAGCTCCCATACTCCCAAAATAGTATGGTAACCACCATACTCTGCACCAGTCATAATCTTCAAGGCAACTCCATATACAGTTTTTGCAGAGTGACCCTATCCAGAATGTCAACGAAAAACAATGTTCCAAGGGGTGAAGATATATATGAATGAACAGCAGCTCCACAGTGCAGGAATTTAGTCTGAGCTTTCTTTGTTCCCTGTGAACTCCTGACACCAATTCAAAACCTCCACAGCATCTATGGTCTGGCTGGGGGTTATGATATACAGCTGAGTATCATGAACATACTGATGATACCTTATCCCAAAATAACAGATTACCTTTCTTAGAGACTTAGTTCATATAGATATTAAATAACATCAGAAAGAGAACTGAGCCCCGTAATTCTCCATGGTGGAACATTTCCCCTGTGACTACAGACTAGAACTCAGATAAAAGTAGGCTCACCATAAAATCTGCCTCTAACCCCAGATGGTTCACCTAACAGGAACAGGAGAGACACGTTTTCCCAGTCCAGAACCTGATCAAGTTCACCAGAATGAGCAATCCTGTTTCAGAGGACTCGGGTATTTTTAGTCTCTCTGTGTTCCTCTATATATAATTCCTCAACTAATCTTCCCCAAAAGGAGTACCTGACAATTAGGTGGAAGCCCTAGAGACAACTAAACAGAAGGCATACCAGCATCTCTTTCAAGAATGGTGGCATTCCACCTCTCAGACAGTAATTAATTCAGCCACTCAAAAGTGCCAGGCTGAACATGAGTCCAGACCTGAGTTAATAATTATTTATTTAGCCTATAGCATTGGTACATGAAAGCTAGGAGTCTATAATGTTATTACAGGGTAGATGTTCGGTTGACTAAGATTGCTAGTTCATTCAATTCATGCTCACGTGCTATCCAAGGGGCAAACAATTAATGGTGTTCTGTGGGAGTGTCAGAGTCATCTGGAATTTTTCTCCACCGTTTTTTGCTTCGGATTCGGACTGGTCTGGCATCAGTTGGTTGGATGCTTCCACCATTACTCCCATCAAAGTAATAACTTTTTATTTTCTTGCATCTGAATACTTTCAAACTGCTTGGTTGGCAGAAGCTGAGGCAAGTGACGGGAGCTCACTCTATCACGCAGTGCTAGGGCTTGAGCTGCTGGAATGCAGAGAGCCCTCTGGCTGACACATCCAGCATTTTTAAGCTGCTGAGCCACCGCGCCTCTTGCAAAGTTTATACTATACAGGATTTGATTACTATCCTCAGATTCCACGAGCTCAAAATATTAGGTGATATCAGAAGATGTTGCTCTTGTCTCCTGGCATGGTTCTATCAAATGACATCTAATCCAGAGCAAGTATTAGTGTCTTTATCTGTAAAGAAACCTGCAAAAGCTTCACAGCTGTCTGTAGGTGTCTTGTCTTCCACATCTGTCCTCAAATCATCAGGCAGGAATCCAAAAGAGCAGAGAACTATACATATGTTGATATTTTATCGCTATCATGTAAGCTGAAACTCAAACATGCATCAGTGCTTGGATGTGTTTGTTTATGGTTTTTCAATATTGTATTTTATTTATTAATATAAAAAAATTAAATTTGTTTGCCACCCATCTCGCTACAATTTTACTTCATTTCTTGTATTTGCTTGGAGGACCAATGATCCAGCTGATATTCTTGAGTAGAAAGTAGCCCGTGAGAAAAAGATCACTGGTTGCCCCCACAATAATTGTGTACTACCCAAAGTGCCCTCTAGAAAACCTCAGGATCCATTAGGCTCTGGGGTGAATCATCCCAATAGATCTATTGCCCCAAGGAGTCCTGTTTGTTCATGATCTGTCATTCAATAAAGGTGATTCCAAGCTTTAAAGGACTTTTTGAAATGCTTACTAAAAGCATTCTAAGCCCTCTAATTCTGACAGATTCTCCAAAGTATAGAAAAAATGATAATGGGCCAGATCAGCTAATCTGATGAGCTGACAGAACAGGCTTATATAATAACGCAGTACCTTTCTTCTTCAGATCTAACATAAAACCCACCTAGGAACTCTGCAAACCTAGGCAGAATGTTTTTTTTACCTTGCTCACAAAAGTATTATCATATTAAAATGCATAGTAATGCAATCATTTGTGTTCTTGCTCCCTTGCATTTATTTTCTTCCACCATTAATGCTCAGTCACAACTATTTTCAGGTTGCACAAATCATATGATACTTTTAACTAAAGCCTGAAATTCATATTAAGGATATCTGTACGCTCTTCATTTGGAAGATCAATCAAGTTTATTTATCCTGGATATATGAATGTGACATTACTAATGACCCATCTATTTCCTAGAGGCAGAAGCTTAATGCTACTGCCATTGGCTGAGAGCAAGATTATTTACACAATGTGAAGAAAAAAAATGCACTGATAAAATTCATATTTGTTCATTTGAAAAGGGTTGAGTTTTTCCTAAAAACAACAACACGGAAGCTCAATTAAATAACCACTGACACTCAGGAGACCTCAACTGCTTGTTAATTGAATCAATCCCCTCACCCAGCTTTTTTGGGAGGGGGTTACAGTCACCTTTCATTCAAACCTTTTAATTTAATAAGGCCTCTGAAGCATTTTTATTTCTTATCTAAAAGAACGATGTACTCTGCAATCAATCTATTACTAAACCAAATCCAGGATAAACCACTTTATCTACTTAAGTAATTGGCAGAGCATACAACACTTTTGAAAAGTCCCATGATCCCTTTAAGAGGAACTTAGCAATATTCATTTTAAAACATGCAGCAAAAAAGCAATGAAGCAAAGCTTCTTTACATATGTGCCAATTCACATGGGGCCACATTCCACCAGTTAGCTGTTTGGAGAAAAGGGAGAAGAAGCAAGGCCAAACAACAGGCCACAGGCCACATCACAGAGGCAACAACTGAGGAAGTGTCAGTTTCTGTCTTGCTGACTGAATGAAATGTATACAAGAAATGAAACTTATCAAGGATTACAAGCTGTGTGTATCCGGAATGAATAAGCAGAATGACAAGATTGATACTGACAGTATTCTAATCACACTCTGTTCTCAAATGAAGGTTTTCCTAAGGTTACCTCCAGAGTTTCAACGTTAACACCAGCTGCTGCTTAAAAGTTGGCTGTTAATTAATCAATTATTTCCAAGGATCCCTTCCTAGCAACAGAACACTTCTGCCTCTCTCTGAATCTTGAGACATCAGCATTCTCAGGGATTTAGTTAATATTTGGCTGCCTGAATCCAAATTGTCTTAGAAGATGGGCCCAGCAAAGCCTCCCCTGCAGGTCCTCAGTTTTGGGCTTGTGGAAACCTTGTCCTTGAATGCAGACAATTCCAGTGGAATATGATAAATAGACTTACATTTTCTTTCATGAACATCCAATCATCAGAACTTTAAGAACAGAATTAAGAAGGAAAGTTTCCATTATATTCGGCTGCACATGCAATTCTTTTTCTAGAAGTCTGCTGATGATTGCTTTCATTTGCTCTGTTGTACTATTTAAATTAGGCATGGAATTTTACCAGTTTTCAGTAAAGGTTTAAGAGTGCCTAGTACAGGTCTCCTGTGTGAGCAGGGAGTTGGACTAGATGACCTCCAAGGTCCCTTCCAACTCTTGTTACTGTTTTTAAAATATGTATCAAAATAATCTATGAATATACTGATTTTAGCAAAATTAGTTGGAAAGTTCAGTAACACCAGCTTTAGATTTTTTTCTCGCCAGCAAAATGTATTGGACTGAACTCTGAATAAATTCTATCTTTAAAATATTATTGTTTTAACACATGAAAGAAGATGAAAATTCAAGGCTCTTACTGTGAAGTAGAACTGTTCAGTCTCCTGTTGATTGGCCCGTCTCTTGGCAATGCTTGGCTTGCTCATGAAGGTTTCAGAAACTGTTGATTTTACAGACTCCATAGAATTGCTGTACTGGAAGCAATCGGATACATCAAAATCTTCAATAGTGACAATATCCTGAATAGTCTGTAGTGTGGCTTCCATTGTTTTTTTAACCTGACATAGAAAGTGAAGAAGAAAAAATATATAAAAAGTGAGGCTGAAGCATAACCAATCATATATTAGATACTGTCGCAATATAAAGACCATTTGTAGAGATGTGGAGAAAAAACAAATCTAATTATGTAACCTGTATGCCATGAGAGTGATCTCATCCTATTTCTAGGACATGATTTCTAGATTTAGAGCAATTTTTTTTAAAAAAGTGATTTCCATACATCATCTTTAGGGCAGGTGACATATGCCTACCCTCAGAGAAGCACTGACAATCTCCTGCTTCCAGTCACTGGTGTCAGCCCACAGAAAACAGGAAGAGACTGAATGAAACAGGTTAATAGAGATCTTACCCTGCACACCACTGTGGATGTTGGTATACTGATGTCCAACCCAGAATGGGTATTATATGTATGTATGTTATCAGGCTTTGGGCTAAATGCCATGAAAAAATATGAATATAGAAATGTATCAATGAAAAGAGGGAAATTCTTATCAGAGGTGTGGAGTTTGGGTTCTTACCTCTTCATTTTCAATCTTCAGAGTGGATAGCCTAGACTGCAGCTGCTGACATCTTTGTACCAACTCACTCTGCACTGGTTGCTGGGCACACAGCTGGAATACCTAGAAAAGAATAGGTAATTTTGAAACTTTCCAGAGACTTACTTCTAGTTCTTCACTTCTGTTAAAACTCATAATCAGGTATGGATGAGATACCTGCACTAGGTCATAGGATTATGAAACAAACCAAAGAACAAATTATTTTTTAAATAAAATTCAATAAACAATTGCCTGGATGTTCACAAATACAGTCATAAACCACAGTTTACCTTATACAATGGTTAGGCTCACACATTGGAATAAACCAAAAGGGTAGAGGACAGAGGGGAAATAAGTGTGGGTTCAAGAAAAGGGAATCCCTTCCCTTACAGAGGCTTTAGAATAGAACAGAACGGAATGGAATGGAATGGAACGGAACAGAACAGAATTGTTGTTAACCAAGGGCAACCTGTATATATACAGAAATGTCCCCAGTGAATATGGAATAGGTGTTTGTTTAAAAACTGGAACAAAACTGCATCACGGTGAGCACAGCTAGTTAATTGGGCTTATAGCATGCATTCAGTACTAAAAGATTGTTCAAATTGCTCTAAGAGTCCTTTTTTCTGTTTCCTATATAGACTTTTTAATTATGTCTGGAGTGAAGATTGCAATGAAAATATATCCACAGAGAAGGGAAGGGGGGAACTAACCATGTCACCCATGTGGGGCTGAAACTCAAACTTCATGGGTGGGCAGAAGACACTGTTACACATTTCCATCAGACGTTGCTTGTCACTGTTGGCATCCAGATTTTCAACGGCATTCTCAATGGCATCCAGGCCTTCGTGCTTTGATTGTTCTAGATTCAGTTCTGCTGATAGGAATGTCCGAAGTGCCCTACCAAGGCTGGCATGATATCCTAGGTCACAGCACTGCTGAATAAAAATAGGAAAGTAAAAACCAAAGTAAAACTCAAAATGTTGAAGGAAAATTTATAAATGATATAATAGGCAGATAAATAAAACAGACAAATATTCTTCTCAAAAGATTTATTGTTTTCTGAAAGTCAGTGGTGTGTACACTAAAACATAGCTTTATTTAATAAATATAGATGCTCCCCAGATTGTATGAGACCTGATTTATATAAATTCAACTTTACACAAATGAAAAGTTAAATAAGCCACATTTAAGGTAAGAAAAAAAGGGTTATACTGGCACTGCAAAGTAGTATAGCTCATAGTTGAATATCTTATTTACACAGTTTGAATTTGCAAAGCTTTCCACAACTGATATGAAAGCATGTGTAATAAGTGTTTTCCCTTTTAAAAAAAAATGCATCACAGAAACAATTTGTACTGTGCCAGATTAGGTCAACCAATTGCTTAAATTGAAAACATAGATTTATACAGCAATTTGTTTTAGGTGGTGGAATTATAAAACACAGTTCAATCTGAGACAACAGAATCTCCTGCTTTAGACTGATTTATCCACTGATCCAACCCACAATAACTTATCTTCTTAGATCTATATTCAATCTTCTGAACTGGGACTATTCTCTGATCTTCTGCTCCCAGAAGTCTCTCACCTCTTTCCTCCAGTGTTGTTCTTTTACCATAAACTGACTGGATTGGCATCAATTACTCTCCCTAGTTAAGACCCTATAACTAAAACCTCACAAAAACTTCACACAGTAGACAAGTCATCTTTAAGACAAAGAGCTAAATGTTAGGCAAGAACTGTGTTTCTGTTTTGGCATTCATATACTGACTAGAACACCAGATATTAAGAACTTGTTTTTTTAAAAAAAAACACTTGCAGAGAAAATGTGCATCTGACATCTAGTTGAAGGAAAACACTAATTAGTTTCTGGAGGAGAAGATAAACAAGTAGCTTGGAAATAAAATTAAACATGGTTTTGCAATTGCACACTTTAAGTATCTAGGATAAGTCTTCATTCAAAAACTAGGAAACATATGCTTTTCTAAAATATACATACTCAGTATATGATTGGCATACTGCCTAATTATATCAAGAACTTGTTGATTGGGTCTATGAAATAATAAATATACTTCTGCAAAAGAGGGTTTTAAGGTACTTCAAAAGAGGAGACTACAAAGCCTCTCTTGAAGAAATCGGTCCTGCAAGTCAAAGATGCTTTTCCCACTATGGATGAAACACAAATACTCTTCTGCCTGCTTCCAGAGAAAGATGCCTATTATAGGATGCTCGGATGCCAATGTAGGAGCATGTAAAAGAAAGAGCAAAACCCTGTTAAGTAAGATATGTAATCAAGTAGCTGCTGATAAAGAAACAGATACTTACCACAACATCCAAAATAGAAATATGAAGTATTTTCTACATTTATTATATTGTTACTGACAATATATTATTTTTCAATCCAAATTATATGAAAATAAACTCCTGCCCTTACTTGATGAGAAAAAAATATGTGTCAGTAGAAGAGGGACAATGGTTTCAGCTGGGAGGGAGGGAGGGAGGGAGGGAGGGAGGGAGGGAGGGAGGGAAGGAAGGAAGGAAGGAAGGAAGGAAGGAAGGAAGGAAGGAAGGAAATCTTCTCAGTGGATAAGTATCTATTTGTTTGATAGAAGTCACAAGCTTACATCTGCCCGTACTAGACAAGTATTGAACATAAATGGTGGAACAAAAATGCCATGAATGAAATGAACATGAGCCAGAGAGAGGAATCAGAAAGACAGGAGAGAAACATAAATGTATGTTGTTAAACTGAGTCTTCCCATAACCTGTTCACTGTCACACGCTTGGGTACAGCGCCAAAAGTCTGGGGCAGGTGTTGAGTCTGCTTGTAAAGCAGCAATTGTGGGCTTTACTGGAAGCAGGCAATAAATGTAGGCAATAAACAATAAATTTAGTCAAGAAGCAAAAAAAACCCCCTAAATAGGGGTTTTAAAAAAATGGTTGATTGAGAATCTGCACATGTCGAGGCTATTTTCATTCATAAATATTCAGCAGTTTCAGCTTTGCAATCAAATTAACATTCCGTGTTTTTCACAGATCATGGAAGAGAAATCGTGGGAATCTTGCCAATGAGGGAAGTCATCAGAAATTTCAAAAAGAAAATTAATGTTAATATATGGTTTACTCTATCGGAGTTGGAGCCTTTCTCAAGTGCAGGTTTCTGTTTCATAGAACAGCTTCCCACCGTTGCATTCCTCTCTATAAAACCAGATTAAGTAATCTGTGTAGGAGTAGGTAGGAACAGAATAGATGACTCTATTTTTATATTTCCATTCATGGAATATGAACTTGAAATTATAATTTATAATCCCCACTGGAAATCAGAAGAAGAAAATTAATTTATCTGGGGTTCCAGATCATTTCTCAGCACTCCTTTCTTATTTTTTGCATTTTACGATATTCCTTTAATTATATTTACAAGTGTATTGGTCTCATCTTTCTTTCTTAGTTATATAAATACTTTTTAAAAAAAAATAAAATAAATACTTGATGGAACTTTTTTCCAAATATTAAAAAAAAAAAAAAAGAATTCAAACAAATTAAATTCTCAACTTGACAGATTCATCCACCAAAACAAACTTGAAATACAAAGCTGGTACGATAGAGGACAAGAAAACATCCAACATTCCAAAATTCAGTACAAAAAATATGTCCTTACCCTGTCAGCCAAAGCGGGGCACGGGAGATTGTGTGAGGAATCCCCGCACCTCATTTTTGGCCTGGATGACCTCCTGCAGCATTTTGCTGGCCAAAACAGGACATGGGAGGGTTGCGAGGCCCTCCTGTGCCCCATTTTGACCAGCACAGTGCTGCAGGAGGCCATTCAGGCCCCAAAACAGGGTGGGAGCGCACGAGGCCCCCCTGTGCCCCATTTTGGCTGGCAGAGGCACTGTGGGCCAGTCCTTTGCTATTTTCAGGCTGGTTCTGTGGGCCAGATTTAAGCACCCCACAGGCTGGACCCAGGGACCCACGGGACTTGAGTTTGACACCCCTGATATAGATGGTTTAAAGTAAACTATTCTAATTTATACTTTTAGGGAGCAATGCAAAAATAAAACACAGATCAAAATTCTGGGATGCTCAAATACTTGATACAAAAATGGATAAAGCAGTTAATAAAAAATTGCAAATTAGAAAAAGTTGTATATGAAGTACATTTGGATTTTTATATTCATATGGATTTTATCAATATAGATTTAGCCCAACCGAGATTTAAATTCAATAAATATTAGCCTGACAAAACTAGAAGACTTGTCTATCCCTACTACTAGCCTTCTATGGGCAGTGTACTGAAAGGCCAATGATTTGCTTGTTTGAACATTTATTTCACATATCTTCCTTAATGTTTTGCATTTGGACTGAAAAGACCAGTTACACTTAGGAATTTTTTTCTGTTCTCAGCCCAATCTCATAGGGTTGACTGCTGTGGTGAAAAACATGTAAGGCATGTTAAATATGCCAGCGTGTGTATCCTAGAGGATAGACCAGCTGTAGATCCATCGAATGAGGAGAAATGTTGATATATTCTTTGTGTAAACTTCATGCATTCCTATATAACCTTAAGAAAATTTACCATTCCTCTCAACAAATTGGGTTGGTTTCAAGATCATTTGGATAAATGAGATTGTTTGACTATTTCAGACATTTAAGATGAATTGCAAACCATTTTAAGCATTCTGTTGTAATTCCTGGAAATCATTCAACCAGTAAGTCAATACACAAAATAAGAAGAAAACATAAGGTATTCATAAAAAACTATGAGATAAAGACACGGGTATTTTATAGTACGTCCGACTGATGTATGTAAGTTAAGATTGTTCCTAAAGCTTTCTATAAAGGTTGAGTATGCAAACTCAAAAAATGATATTAAAATAAGAGAAGTACCTGACAATTGCAGAATTTGGTTTGGCTATTTAATTAGTGCCGTGTTTAAATGCTGTTGTCCTTCGATAATTGAATGAAACACAGATGGAACACAGATAAAAGATAAAATCTCCATATGGACTTCTGCCATTGAAAAAATTAACTGAGGAGAACAACATAATGAGGCTTGAAGCAGAAACATTCAGGAAATACACCACCAAAGTACACTTACATCAATGAGGTCTGACAGGTCATGGATATAATACTTGAATACAGATGCATTGGTGGCTTCCAGAGCCAGCAGATATTCATTCCTTGCCTTAATAGCCTTCAGTTTATTTTCTGTGTATTTTGCTTGGCGCTGAAAAATATACAAATGGATTTTTATTACAAAATGATTAAAATGAGGAAACCAATTGCCTTGAAAGCAGGAAAAACAATTCTGCAAAATCAAGGAATGATTTTACTTTCTTTTTAACCCAGACTGAGAAATCTTAACACTTTTAGGCAAAACAAATGCATCATATAACAATGACTCAAATAACTGTTCAATCATGAAGAGACAGGAAGGTAATCTAATCCATAGATGGCCAAAAAGTGGCTCATAGGAACACATAAAAGTTAATATATCCAATCCTAGAAGCATGTTTGCATCCTGAAGATCCCTGCAGAATTTTATTTGGCTCTAATATGGATACAGAGGACTGACATCAGCAGGAGGTACTAAAGAGCCAAGTGTGAACAAAGGTCTGATACCCAAATCATCCAAATTACAGGGACTGATCATGTATCACTAGAACTTAATATACCAACTGCACTAAGCAGCTGGAAGCTTAGGTCCGCACACATATTTACATTCCTCTGCCCATAAGAATAGGAAACAGCCCTTCCTGATCTAGCCCAATCAATACGTGAATATTGTATATGGGATATTAATAATTTAAACCTTCATCATAAAGTTAAAGCCAATTCAATATTGATTGATTGATTTTATTATTTGAAAAAAATCGAAAGTGGGCAATGATTAAAAAATATTTTACAATAAATTAGAATAATTGGAATTAAGTTGTTACGGCTCTAATTATTTATTAACAATTGAAATCCTAAATACGATGCTGTATAATCCTAAACCAGATGGGAAGGCACAGCAGCATCTGTCTACCCAAGTATTTGGTGAAATGGTCTTAAACTGTCACCAAAGGTTTATGATGGTAGCTGTCAATAGCATCTGAAGCAAAAGGAAATTCCACAGCTGAGATTGTGAAATCAGGAATCCCATTCACATTCACTGCATAGCAAATAGCCAGTGGATGCAATAACCTTTGTAAGATTTACCTCCAGTAAATCTTCCTAAAAGGGCAAATTACATGTAGTTCTCGAGTCATTTTGGGAGCAGGACTGCTATTGTTAAGCGATGACATCATAACATGTGATGTCATGTGACCATATCATTTAGTGATGATGATCCAGGCAGTCCCAGACGCTCTCATAATCCCAAGATGTGTGGGTCATTAAGCAGGAATTAACAGGTGCTACAGGTAATGAGAGTGACAGTGCCACACAGAGATGGGGAAGATTCTGGAAGGCCTTGTACAAGTTGCACGCAAGTTGGAGAAGGGGGTGCTGCAATGTGGCACAAGTGAAGGAAGGCTGGGAAAGGAGGGCACAGAATGCAATGTGAGAATAGAGAGGCTCAGGGAAGGAAATGCTGGTGGCTGAAAATGTAGGGAAGCTCAGGGAAGGTGAATGCTGATGGGGGCATTGCTTGCAAGAGGAGGGAGGACTGGGAAAGGAAGATGTTGGTGTGTGTGTGTATGTGTGTGAAAGCAGGTGAGGAAGGAGGATGCTGGTGGGTGTGCAGAGAGAAAGGAGGTATAGTGTGGGCGAATGAGCAAAGGGGGAAGAAAGGTGTGATGTGTGCATGCAAGGGAAGAGGGGAAGGAGACCACAGTGCATGCAAACAAAGAAAGGCAGGGATGCAGGAAATTTACCAAACAACTTGTGATCTTCCCTCAGGCTTCCCCATTGACTCTGGTCTTGGTAAGTCAGCAGGGAAGGTCACAAATGGCAATCAGGTGACCACGGAACACTGGAATTGGTCATAAGTGCAAACTGGTTTTCAAGTGCTTGAATTTTGTTCATGTAACTGTGGGGGTGCTACAATGGCTGGAACTTGGAAGTCAGTTGTAAGTCCCTTTGTTCAGTACCGTTCTAACTCTGAAAGCCAATGAATGGTCAGTCACTGAATGAATGGTTGTAACTTGTGGATTATTTGTATACTGTATTGAGGAACAAGAGAGGGGGAAAAAATCCATTGGCTACGCATATTTACTTTACTTGCTTCATGCGTGATCCTAAGAAAAGTGTGCTTGTATTTCTGTATCTCAATACAATGAACTTTTCCAATTAAAAATATTACTTCTTAAACCAATGTATCCAAGATAGTCTATTGCAAATATTAAGTCTTTTTAAAAAACTTTTTAAATACAGCTTCTCTGCCTATGGCACTATATTACATTACCTCTGCAAGTTAAAACATTTAAATATCAAACCGCTAACAGCTTGATATGTAGTATCCTTATGTACCAAGCTAATCAGAGTTTGAGTTTGAACATAGTTGACTAGGGATAAGAATAAATGGATGAGTGGCAAAACGACCTTCTAATATTTGTGGTTCCTGTACCTCCTCATTCCATCTCATGAATACGCATACCTAAATATAGTTTCTAGATCTCAGAATAATCCCTGAGCCATTAGGTCAGTATTTCTGCTATTTCCCCATTAAATAGCTCTTCCCCCTTAACGCCCTAATAGATATTCTATTGTGTATTAGATTCACAGTGAACACTCAGCAGCTGCTATTGGTAAAGAGAGCTTTGCAATTACCCAGCAGTTAACCCTGTTGTGCACTCACCTTCTCTTTCATTTTCTCAATCTTCTTGACGGAGCTCCGTCGGACATGCTTTTCTTCAAACTTGACACTGGAGGCTGAATCAGGGGAGCGTGGAGTTTGCTTTTCCTCCTGCTTCACAGACTTACCAATCTGTTTTTCCTCTTGCTTCTCTGCCTCTTTCAGCTTGCTTTGGGCACTGATACTGTCAGCATTGTACATATGGTAGGTCTTCATTACCTGCAAAGGCAATTCTCACTTATGAAGCACCTTACTGATGTTTTTTTTTAAATTCCCACTTGGAAACACCTAAACATTAGTCAACCAATGCCTTCAATGTAAACTTAAAATTCAAACAGAAAAATACCTATAACTATTCTACAAGCCTACTATACAGGGAGTCCCTAATTTATGATGGCAACTGGGATTGGAATTTCCATTGCTAAGTGATGCAGACGTAAAGTGTGACTGCACTGCTTAGCAACAGCAATCCCTGCAGTCCCAATTGTCATCCTTAATCAGGTCCCATTGTTTTTAGGCAAGGCAACTTCCTGCCAGTTTCCAAAATTAAAGCAGTGGGGAAGCTGGCAGGAAGTTGTAAGTCCCAGGTGACTCACGAGCAGGCTGGCACGCAGATTAAATGGCTGCTGCAGGATGGGGGAAGGCTCAGGGAGGGTGGAAAGGAGGCATGGCACAACACAGGGAGAGTGTGCAAGAGTGCGAGGGAGGCACAGCAAGGGTTAAGGAGCATTCGTGAGGGTGCAATGAGGATACAAGGAGGTGAATAAAGGAGCAAGGAAGGTGTGATGAGGGTCAGGAAAGGTGTGAAAGAGGTGCAGCAAGGATCAGGGAAGGTGCGCAGGGAGGCACGGTGAGCCTCAGGAGGGGGCACGATTAGTTGGTGCAGTATGAGCAGAGAAGGGCTAAGGGAGTATGCGGGTGGGGAAGATTTATCCCAGCAAATTTGATCACAGGGTGCTGCAACTGGTCTTAAGTGCAAGTTGATTACCAAGCACCAGATCATGATCATGTGACCATGGGGGTTATGGGATGGCCTGAACTTTCAAGGACCATTCGTAACCGATGTTCATTCAGCACCATTGTAACTTTGAATGGTTGCTGAAAGAATGGTCATAAGAACCACCTATAGTACTCAAAAGGATCAGCAAAGGTATGGAACATTTTAAAACTCTCACGTGATTCTGGTGGCTAAACCAAGGCCTCCACTACTTCACCCTAACTCTGCTTGTCAAGGTTTGCTGGGAGCTTTGCTTTCTTCTTATTAACAAATAATTTTTGTTAAAGAAAATTTTAAAAGAATAAGAACAATACCAACTTTGAAAGAAAAAACAAAAGTAATAAGTGAAAAAGTGTAAAGAAATGGAGAAGGAAAGAAAATAAAAGTTATAAAGAAGCAGCTTTTGATACTGAAAACAGAAATACATTTATTTTTTACCCTCTCTTTCTAAAGTTATAACAATCTTTTTTCTATAATCTACCTTTTTAAAATCATCAAACCCATAAACCACAAGTTCATTTTTTCATTTTTTTTTTAGCAAAAAATCCATGAGGCTTCTAGTCATTAATAAATGTGGGTTTTGTCCTTTCGCTAGTCAGACAAGTCAACTTTGCATCTTTGCTAATTGCGTCATCTTCACCAGCTGTTCCTCCATTGTGGGTATTTCAGATTCTTTCCATTTTTGTGCACGAAATAATCTTCCAGCAGTTATCCTATATAAAAACAGCTTTCCATAATGCTTTTCTAATTGTTTATCCATTAGTTCTAATAAGAAAATTTCTGCTTTCAAATGAATATGAATCTTTAAAATTCTTTATTTTTAATGCTGTATATTTGACAACCCCCCTTTTTTTTTTGCAAGTCCACCAGTCATGATAAACTGATCCTTCACATTTTCCTCATTTCCAATATAAACTGAAAATACTTTTTATACATTCTAAATAATTTGTCTGGAGCCTGTACCGTTTTATAAAATTCTCTTTTAAAGTATAATATAATGTAAATTTCAGTCCTTTCAGCTATGTATTCCTTATTGTTCTTCAATACATTATGTCCAAAATTCTTACCGGTAGGAGTTTTTCTTATATTAGTTTGAATCACAAAGTTAAGGACTCAGCTTTAGCAGAGTCTCTGAACATGTGGGAAACTCTACTTGGGTTCAAGATCCTTTATCTAAAAGTTCTATTACAGGCCCTGCTATTCGACCAGGCCAATCAGATTGGAGAGGTTGCCTACTGGATTGGTGTAGCTAAGGACATCTACTTTGGTCATTTTGCATAGTGCAAATCTCTATTGTAGTCCATACAACAGAACTCCAATGATTTTAACTTCTACTGTATGAAGTGACACACCCTATTAGCACAAGGCTATAAAAGGCCAGATGAAAGTAGGAAAGAGAGAGGAACAGCTAAGAAAGAAGTGCAAGAATAATTCTATTTCCAGCTGAAATTTGACTATGTAGGATGAGGAGAAAAGGGTCATTAAATAGTATTCCTTTGTTTACCCCAGGAAGTTGATATCTTTACTTTAAAAAGCAATTACTAGGAGACCGGCCACTTTTTAACTGACTGCATGGTAGTCCATGCTCCGCCAGTGCTAATCCTGCTCAGAAATACAAAAGGCGACATAGACAGCAGAGGCTGACTATGCTAACAAACAGCCTTTCTCTTTGTTTCTCTACAGTCCCTCCATTGTTTTGGATCAATACTGACTTTTGCCTTTCTCACTGGAGTTTGTTACAAATAAGTGAGCTCTAATAGTTGAACCACATATTTTGACTCCTGCCCTTCTTTGCATTTTGGCCCTCTTGGTAACCTTTTGAACTGGGCAAGGATCAAATACCAAAAATTTTAAGAATCTCCCATTTATCTCCTTAGGCTAATCAACACATCATTTAGATAGGTTTAAAAACAACTTCTGACAGACAGACAGACAGACAGACAGACAGACAGACAGACAGACAGACAGACAGACAGACACACACACACACACACACACACACACACACACACACACACACACACACACACACAGTTTCCCCCAAAATAAGACATCCCCTGATAATAAGCCCAATCGGGCTTTTGAGCGCATGGCAATAAGGCCAAGCGCTTATTTCAGGTTCAAAAAAATTTAAGAGAGGGTCTTATTTTCGGGGAAACAGGGTAGATGATGACTGAACAGATGGACGGATGATAGAGGTTTATTTACTGAAAATCAGGTTTATCCTCTCTTTCCCACAAATTCTGATCAAGGTAGCTCACCATAATAAAATTTAAAAACTGATTTGAAAAAAATGGTATGCAGTCTTCCAATTACATCACAGACCTTCATGAAATATTAATAACCAATAATAACTGCTTTGTAAATGTGTGCTCAAACAGAAAAGAGATGTATGTTCCAATTTTAAAATCCTGCTGCAAGCCAACCCTGGCCTCAAATCCTTCCAGTTTTCAAGCATTAAGCCCCACGAGTCTTCTTTCACCTCAATTTGAACTTGACCGTAATTTTTGTTAGGTGGAATATATGCTCTCACTTTGTTACTCCTTCTGGAGCAATTAAAGCAACACTCCTTAGTTACAGGAACAAGTAACAGTTAAAAATGCTAACCCACTCAGTATTAAAGGAAACATAATTTATGTATACGGTAATTCTGAATCATTATCAGTGAGCAGAATTAAAGGTGGCATTTGGAATTGCCTTAAACAGGAGGGAGAGGTATTCTTTCCATGTACCCCTAATCCCATTACTTCTAGTGAAAGACATCTGGCACAAGGTATCAAAACCATGTAAGTCCCAGTTTTAATGGTTTCAGATATTTAAAGATGTGTCAACATGGTCGATCCATATCTTTCTGCCAAGATTGACATCAAGGTCCAGGGTCAAAGCAATTACATAAGGATTCAGTCCTGGAGTCTAGGTATTGTTATGAATACCACATGCTATTCCCATGAAGGGATTATATTAAGATGTTAGATGAGCATCTATTTTGCCAGATTCTGCCTTGTCTTTCTCCCTCTCTCTCTTTTAATTAGAACTCTCACACTTACCTACAGGGGCCTACAATGAAAGGCACACACATAGGAATGAGCAAAGGAGTTTGTTTTGAGTAGCCCAACTGAATAAAGAAAATAAAACTCATCTTTTAAAAAAAATAATTATCCTATACTTAATACTATTTACAAAACAGGAACTTGATCATCTGCCTCCTTAAAGAAGAAAACCCAGAAAAACTTCCCTCAGGCCATGACACAGCCCTGCCTACTTTGCAATACTGTACCACTTCAGACTTTGTGCTTGAAAGGTTGCTCGGGCCTGATGTAAGACCAGATTTATGGAGGAATCTCACTTTGTTGGTATTTCAAGAAAATAACTGCTAAGAATTTGTACACAGATTTGGAGATATTGGAGGTAAGACCTTCTCAGTATGACATTCAGACAGAAGGATTATCTGAAGGAGACTCTTGAAAACATGCTAAGGAAGGATGCACAAAATGATACCAACATTTTGGAATGGATTGCTTCCTTCTATTTTTTTTTTCCTTCTGTTCAGTCATATCTGATTCTCAGAGACTGCCTGGACAAGTTTTCTTGGCAAGTTTTTCATAAGTGACTTTCCACTCTCTCCTTTCTAGGGCTGAGAGAAAGTGACTGGCCCAAGATCACTCAGGTGTTTCTGTAACTTAAGATGGCTAAACAAGTTTCCTGGTTTCAAGCCTAGTGCTTTCGCCACTACACCAAATTGGCTCTATTTCCCTATATATTATTTGCCTATAGCTAAGTGCCGTAGGCATTTAGGGGATTCAGTCCTTTTGACTTGCTACATGAGAAAAACTAAGAGCAGTCCTCGATCAAATGAACTTTCAGGGTCAAAGATTGTGACTGTGTTCTCACACAAAGAAAAAAAAAGGCAAAAAACCTCAGTGGCATTATTTCATGAACACCTGCACAATGAGACTTATATCATATAAGACTCTCAAGAGGTGGAAGGAAAAGTGTTGTTTCTGTTACCTAGTCAAGACTGCAAGCTTAAGCTAGGTGGCAAAGCTCATTTATGATGATCAAAGAATGGAATCCATAAGTCACAAAATAGACTTGGAAATGGAAAAGCCATCTAGTTCATAAAATTTTAAGAAAGTAGATTGCTTCATTAGGGATCCAAAGATCTGGCAAAACAAATATGTATAGCTATTTACCAGATGCAAAGAAAGTATGAAGAGACACA